GTATATGATTTTTTACAAAAAATAAGCATTTTCCAGAATGATAATCTAGACAAAGTCAGGATACGTTTTTCAAAAAAATTTCTATAGGGATCCTGATAGCAAAAATACTATTCCTGATGGATCAGCAATACCGATCTTGATAGAGTTAAAAAAAAAAATTATTTAAGTACTGTTTCTGATAGCGTTCTAAAAACGAATCCTAATCTGAACTTTTTGTTATTATATAGTATATTTGGAGACCCTCTTTTAGAACCCTATCAAGAATGGTATGTAAATTGGCTTTTTTCCCCACCCTATCAGGAACAGACCGACGATCCATCAGGAACGGTATTTTTGCATCCCGATGGTTTCTGGGTAAAAATTTATTATGGTAATCCTCAACTTTAATCTTTTGTATTTTATTAAGATTAGAAGCCGAATACAATCAGGAATGGATTTTACGTAGTAAATAATAATATATGCAACTAACTTTCCTATATCCATATATTATGTATATAAATACACTATCAAGGGCGCCAGCGGCGCTCCATTTACACTTGTATTATTAAAAATGGTATGGGATTATAACATGTACTAGCGGAATGATCTGGTATTGTAAAATATAGGGTAAAGGATCAGTCATGTAACATCCTGTTTTATATGCGCGCAAATATTTCGCGAAAGAAAATTATTCGAATATGCAGGAGTCGTAGATATTGCATAATCCCAGAGATTATGCTACGTGGTAATCACTATCTATCTACCTGTAAAATTTCCTGATGCAACCAAGGAAATGGTAATATAACCTCCGTATCTATTTTTGTGAACCTCCTGTAAAGACCGTGAAATCTAGTGACTTGAACCTCATATGCAGAAGTTGGTCTGATTAGCTAATAAATTCAATTTAATTTTAGATTATTTATACAGTTTAGAGTACTTTTTAAAAAAAACAAAAACTAATCATAATGAAATAAAAAAAAAAGGCTGTATAGAAGGCTTCATTAGTGCTGTAGGACTCCATAGCCAAAAATAAGATCTAATTCTCGTCCGTTTAAAAAAGTCAGTAATAACTTCTCAAAACCCGATAAAATCAACTTATTACTAAAGCTAATTTTTTTAAAACAGACGAAAATTAGATCTTATTTTTGACTATGGAGTTCTACAGCTATATGGTTTTTTTTTTTTACTTTATTATGGTTGGTTTAAAAAGTACTCTAAAATGTATAAATAATGTAAAATTAAATTGAATTTATTAGCCAATCAGACGAACTTCTGCCTATGAACTTGAACCGAGTTAAAAATCGTCAACCGATTAACCGACCCGGCCTTAACTGACTTACAACTGTTATCATTGGCTGTTATCATAATTTCTGGATCACTTGATAAAATTAGCCGAATGATTTTTCAGCCAATTCGACTAACGTTAAGCTTATACTTCAGCATGATCCGTATAATAAAAACTATTTTAGTATCATAATGATTGTTTTACAGCGATAATGTCAACGTTATTAAAATTTCGATCGAATGCTTTATCCAATATGTTTGGTCTGTTTAGTGTGTACGAAACTTTATGAAAAAAACTGCTCGTCAGCTAATAAATCTTAGCAAGAAATATAAATCAACAGGATATAAATTAGACTTTTATATAATAAACATATTAAATGATTTGTGTTAATATTCAAAAAAAGATAAAATATTACTTTGTATATCCAAGTTTGATTTATAAACTAAATTGTCATATAATTAATTTTACGCTTAACCAAAGTTTCATCTCTGATTGCAACAATTTATACAAATACCAATCAAAGTTTCTTTCATTAAAATTTTAAGATGTTTTATATTGTTCATGTCTAATGAACATGATTTTCCTTAAAGTGGAAGTTTTTTAATATATCTTATCTTTGAAAGTGCTTGTGAATCTGACTTATAGAAGATATGCTAACACCCAGTGTTTGGTAAAATTTCTTTAGTTATTTACCAATGATGATATATTTCTGTATTCAATCAGAGATATACTGTATATACAGATATACGTGCTATACGTACTAAAGTTTTGTAGTATTTCATTATTACTGGTGCTTAAATTATATAAATTAAGAAAACCACTATTTGGAACTTGCTTTCAAGTAAGGGATTTTCTAATCCATTCCCCATATATCAATTTGAATCTATTGTACTGAAATTGCCAACTTAATCAAATCAGCTGAAAAATCATTTGGTTAATTTGGTTAGATTTCTTAATGCACAGTAGCTGCATAGTTATTGTGCATTAAAACATTCAGGTTTCTGTTTAGTTGGGTATAAATATTGTATTGATTATTTTTTTTATGATTAGGTTAATCAATTATATTGAGCCGCTTGTGAACGAAGTCACAAGGCGGTACATTATTGTGAGTCACTGGACCTTCCCGTGACATATGGTCACGGGACATGTCCATGACGAAATTGTATATCTGAGTAACCTGATGATCAGGTCATTCTTTGTTCTTGAATTTTTCTGCTCGACTTTGTGTCTAGCACCCGTCGCATTGAACAAGCCAGTTTTCTTAGATTGAATGATTAGAGCCAACGATATATTTTTTATTTTGGAAACAATTTGTCTCAGAAATTAACATCGACCAAAAAAAAAAAAAAAAAAAACATTAATGATGACAGAAGAATCGCAACATATAAATACCGACATCGGCAGGCAACCACCTCTCAGGTGGAACCAGGTTTAATGGTGAATTGGAACCGCCTACGCATAGCTGACTTAAGGGCGATATGTCTGAGATGTAATATTTCGGCGGATGGTTCAAAAGCAGAACTGATGAACCGCCTGGAAATTTATTGGGGTGAGTCTGAAAAAGACTATGTACCACAAGGACAATTTAAAGGAAAATCGGTTGAACAAACCCAGCCCGAAGGTCATGAAAAAAGGGATGGACTTCCCACGCAAGAAAGTACTGAGGGGCAAAATTATGCCCTTTTGTCATATATGGAAAATAGGCTGGAGGAAAAAATTGAAGAAAAGTTGGGGGAGTCATTAGCACGAGTTTTAGACAAGAGCTTGCAGCAATGGTCAGCGCAGCTAAATAGGTCTAGCTCAGGAGAAACTCATTTTCCCAGCAAAAAGTTCAAGAAAACTCGGGACCAACATGAGTACGATGCGATTTGCGATGTTGGCTCGTTACTCCAAAAAGCGATCCAAGAAGACTCAAAAGAGAAGGTTTTGGAGGCACAAGAGGCATTAAGATTGAGAGCCTTTGTCTTGAGAGTAGCGGAAGAGGAAGGTTGGAATGTTGCAGCAAAAATCCCAAAACCAACCTCGGGTGAGAATGATGAATTTAGAAACTTATTAATTGAGGCACGAAAACAAGCAAAGC